GTTGGTGGGGCAGAAATACGAGATTCCAGATCTAATTTGTAACATTTCCCTAAGTTGGCTGAAGGCTTTTCTTACTTTTCCTAAGACTGTCTAATTAAGAAAAAAGGTATCTCTGACTCTGGAGAAATGGCCCCAAGAGGAAATAGGAAATGGTAGGTGCTGATTCCTCCAAGCAAGAGCTCTTCCGCTGGGAACTTGCCAACTCAGGAAGGGGAGGGGGAAAACACAGACAGCTCAACACACAAACTGACACTGCATGGGGGGACTTCAGTTACTGGTATAGAGTCACTCAGCTCCCCTGTTGGAGAGAGAAATCACAGTGCCCCACTCGCCTCCCACCCCCAGCTCTGACAGGAAAGTGAGATACACTTTCCTCTGCCCAGCTTCAAAACCCTCTCCACAAACCACACAAGGGGCTAAATGCTCCACTAAGCCCTTCACACCAAAAGAAAAGAGGATGAATGTTGATTTTATCCTCTATTTTACTATTAATAGCAAAAAAGACATTGAAAAATACAAGTTACTTGGAAAATGGTGGGTTCTGCTTTATTGTGTGCAGGATTGGGGCAGTTTCTAAAAAAAAACAGGCATCAAGAAGACAGGCACAGCCTCAGTCCTGGAGGGGAACCCCGTTGATTAGGCTTTTATTGAATGTGGTACATCAATACCCAGAGAGGTACTTGCATTAGGAACTCTACCTAAGCAACTAGCAACATAGCAATGTCACATCGTGAGACCTGGCATGCGAAAACCCTTTTGAAGGTTGACAGTTACTGCTGCTATTGGGTCAAACGTTGTTTGCAGTCAGGAGCTCTTCCCTGCGATGTACTCGGAGAGGTCTTCTGTGGGAAAGTCTGCTGGGATCCTAGAACTGGGTTTGGCCCCCAGTGAGTCCATGTTATGGCCAAGCAAGAACGGATCCACTTTTCACTCTGTTCACTGAGTTCTGCATTCCTTGGGCTCTAAATGAGGACAGATACAAACTTCTCCAGCAGCGCCCACGCATGGCTGCATGACTTGGTGCTTGCTGAGCTTTGGCTGTGGGCAAGACTCAAAGCTCCCATCATCACTCCAGTAAGCAGTTGATCTTCCTGCTTGCCTTCCCCTCTCTGCCTGGCATAGCTTGTGCATATCATTTAATACACTGCAAGTGGGCTGGGGAAGGCACATAGTCTGGAGGCTCGGAAGAAGAGTCAAACAGCTCTCTGGGGTGGTCCACGCAAGCGCATAGGCCATGGGAATGAAGGGACCTCGTCTTGGTTTCCCTTCACTGCTTTCCCCATACGCATCGCATTAAAAACAGTGTCCGTAACTTGAGGCATCCTCACCCACATTTGGGAGCAGTCCTAGCAAAGGCTGTGGGACCAAACATCATACTTCACTCTTTCAAAGGACGTTTCAATCTGTTAAGTCTCAAGCAGCTTCACCAAAGTACCCTCCACTTGCTGATGGAGGAAAATGGGATATCCAGAGTTAGGGATTTATTCACAGGAACAACACAGGCACAAAAAACACCCTCATGCTGCTAACTTCCAAAGATAGTGGCTCCCTGCTCTGTTCCTCCAGACACCCAGATACAGCTTCCTGCCTAAGAACAGGCATTAGGAGCAGGGGGGCGTTCAGTAGCTGCTTTCTTTTGGGGTCATCAGAGGAAGGTTCTTGCTCTGTGATCTGCAAAGTGCTCTGCAACATCACAGCTCTCTGAAATGCTTAAGACTAAATAGATTCCTGGGTGCTTTAAGGTCCTAATAATGCACCGATTGTGTCTGCTGCAGGGGACTCGCCACTGGCTCGGACTTACAGCCTGCTCAGAGCTGCTGTCTCACTTGCCCGGTTTTGCAAACAGACGGATGCCCGCTCCAACCCACGTCAGTACTAAAAATCTCCAGGCAGCACAAGGTGAGCTACAGGCTGGAAAACAACTCCCCACATCGACCCCCTTGCAAGAACCACTTGCAGCTGGCAGGAAAAGGATGTTCCAACCTTCTTGAGCCAGTTTGCCCAGCAGGTTTGCAATCTGCAGAACACGGCATGTTGAAAGATACTTCAACTTCACGGCAACATGAGCAACCCAGGGACCTGGTCTTCAGAGACACTGAGCAGCCACAGTCACAGCTAGAGTCATTGCAACCTGCAAGCACTCAGCATCTTTGCAGGGACAAGCACGGCATCTCTCACAAGCCTCCCTTTCAGATGGCTAGGCTGGAAACTGGAAGCCAATGCTCCTCCCAGGTTGCCTCTCATGTTTCCAGTGCGGAAATTTCTGATTTTTACACTAGGTTTTTGATATCCAGGTACCACGGTTGGAGAGGTCAGGGCGGCCTCACCATTTCCAAGCCAGCAAGATCCTGCAGTCAGACCTGCTATTTCCCTGCTGGAAAACATGCAGTTCTATGCTCTAGGCACTTACAGCAACAAGCCCTCATGGCCCGTTCTCCCTCTTCCCCGTCATTCAGATAGAGGACAGCATGTTAGGGGAAAGTTTCAAAGTGGGGGAGGTGGGGAAGGCCTCTGCAGAAGTGGCATGAGGCTGTTCTCCGCTGTTTTGCAATGCTATCCCTTGACGAAGAACTACTTAAAAAATGACCAAGAACTGAACTAAGAGAAAGAAAAATGAAGACAAAAACATAGCTGGAGTACAAGGAGTTGAGCAAGAGGGGATCAGACTTTAAACACGACAGAGCCCTTCAGCTGAGCTGGTTCAAGGCCGTCGAAAGAGAGGAGGAAATACATCACCTTGCGGATCTTGGCTAACTCCACTAGCCGCTCCCCAAATTCCTGGGCATCTGCCTCATTGCACTCCACCTCCTTGGCCCCTGGCTTCTTCCAGAAGATGCCTGCTGGCTCCAGCAATTGCCGGTTCATAAGGTGGGTGAGATCCGGAGTCCAATGCTGGGAAGTACCAGCCACTGTGACCTTCCCAGATCTCTCCAGCTGGATCTCCCAGCGGAGGAAGCGCAAGTTGTGCTGCCGGATGAAATCCACTCGATAGATGTGCTCGTTGGGACGCAGCAGCTTCTCCCCATCCTGGGGCTTCTGATTTTTCTGCTGGAGGCTCTGGGCTCTCAGCCGCATGCACCGGGTAAGCTGGTCATCTCGGGTGAAGGGCACCTTGAGCTCTCCTGCCTCGGCTGCCATCACCTCAGCTTCTCCTCTGCTGAGTTCTCAGCAGTGTTTGGTTCTCAGATAAGCCACCTGAGGTAAAAAACCACCAAGCCCCCAGAGCTGGTACCCCCTCTCCACGGTCCCAGCAGTGCTAGGCAACCCAGGCCACTGACGCAAAGCACCCTCCGGGGCTTCCTCTGGGTGCCCTCCCATCTCGTTTGCAGATTAGGAACCGATTGTGCTGCTGTGCACAATAATCTATAGGGAAGGGACGTCTGATGTCAGCCTCCCTGGCAACCTCCTTGACAACCGCTCCCAGGCAAGCTGGAGCATGGTTCGTCATGCTGAAATGAAGGTGCTAGCAGCCTGGCCACCATCTTACAGGGCTCAGTTGCAGTGGCTTTCTCTAGATGTAGACTCACAGAACAATCAACAGGGTGGAAGGAGTCCCGGCAGGAGTCTGGTCCAACCCTCTGCTCAGAGTAGGACTAAATTCAAGGCTAGCTCAGGTTGCTCAGAGCTTTATGCAGTCGAGCTTTGAATATCTCTATGGATGGAGATCCCACAGCCTCTCTGGGCCCATGTTCCAGTGTCTGACCACCCTCATGCTGATGATTTTTCTTTTTTTCTTCATATCTATCCAGAAGTTCCCATGTTGCAGCTTGTGTTGTTGACTTTCTTCCTCACTCCAAGAGTCTAGCTCTCTCCTTTCTGAACCCCTCTTATTAGGGAGTTGCAGACAGCAATGAGATCCCCTTTCACCTTCCCTTCTCCTAGCTGCACAAGCCCAGCTCTCAGCCTCTACCTTGCATGTACCCTCACCATCTTGGTGGCCTTCACTGGACTCACTCTAGTCTGTCACTGGCTTTTACTGGGGATTCCAAAACTGGATACGGTGCCCAGATAGGGACTCACATGCCTGATAGAGGGGGAGGATCATTTCCCTTGTCCCACTGGATGCATTTTTGCTAATTTGGCCATGTGCATGGCTGGTCTTCATCTCTGCAAGGGCACATATTTGACTCATGGTCAACTTGTCCATCAGGGCTCCTTAGTCCTTTTCCGGATGGTGCTTTTGGTAGGACTCATGCCCCACACTGCCACTACAGTAGCAGGAAGCCACAGTGGATGCTCGTGCCTCACTGTGAATCTGCCTGCCCTTGACTTGCCCCAGACTTGCTCAAAGTCTGAGAGGGTGTTCATGCATGGACTTCACCTTAGCGCTCCTGGGAAGTGGGGTCCAGACACTGTCAGGGCCTTAACTCTTGTTTCTTTGGGCCAGGTGGACAGGCAGATCCAAGATGCAAACAGCCTTTTCAATGGTGCCGCATGGATGCTCTGTGCCTAAGTGAGCACCAGCAAGACCATTGTGCCTATCTGGAAATGCTCATTCCCTTGCAATTGCTGGACATGGCTATCTCCAGTGCACTGGGGCATTGCTGGTGTGTTCTCCAGACAGCAGATTGGATAGAGGTGCACACACTGCTCTTTGCAATGTGCTGGGTGGCTTCATGAGGCTGTAGATACCCAAAAGAGGTGCCATGCCAAATCATGTCCCCCTATGCCAAGCTGCACTGTGACATGGTAATTAAATCACAGCCACAGTTTTAGGTACACCGTGGAAAAGGCCTGACTCCTGCAAGTGTGCTGTGGTATCTTTGGGATAAAATCACTTTTTTGGATACTTGGAGAGTCCAGGAGTTACGGAATGTAGCAGGAGTTAGGTTAGAGGGGGTAAGGTGTGGAGTGAGGTCATCTGTGTTCTCCCAGGCCTGCCTGCGACTCAGGTTGGCTTCTGCCACATGATGTGTTTGCAGGGCACCTGGGAGCTCAAATAGTGTTAAATCAAGTACAAGAAACAATTTTTTTAAAGCATCTCTATAAAATGCTGTGCCAGCATCTTGGTTGTGTCACACCTGACACATGACCAGTGCACATCAGCTCTGAAGGATATAACTCTGAATTCCAAAATAAGTCCTCAAAAAGATTATCTGGAGATAGCCCTGGCCTGACAAGCCACCAACATCAGGGGACGAAGGCTGGGTCATTTTACTGGGAATTATAACCTGTCTGCTATTACTTCTGAAGTACTTGAAAACACGGTCAAGAAAGCTAAGAGCTACAAACAGCACCATTCAAAGGGAAAAAGGGGGGGTCTGAGGAAACCAGACTCTTTTGGATGTCCTCTGAGCTCTTGCTTGTTTACTTGCTTTAAAACACCTTTAGCAGCAACTATCGATCCAACCCTTGGGTTTTTAAAGTTAAAATGCATTCAGGTATCTCTGGAGACCTTTTTCAGCTGAGCTATATGTATCAGTGTCACACAGACCTTGCTTGGACTGCCTCAGCTCTTTTACCTACTAACCTCTGTATTGCCCACATGTGGTGGCAGTAGAAGGAGCAATGTCCTTGCACCTGATGATGAATTATCTGTGGTGGAAAGCAGCTGCCAGGCACTATGTGATGTTTTTCCACCGCTCTGCTGGGGCGCGAAGTCAGCCTTCAGGGCCTCCTCAGAGAGCAGTAATGACCCCAGGCTGTGGAAGAGCTATGCAAAATGGACTTAGGGATGTGGGTGTTCTCAGAGCGCTCTGCTCAAGGTGTCCCATCCAAGACAGCCTTGCACTCTTGAAAGGGACCTACGGAGAAGGAGACCAGCCTAAGCAGTGGAGATGCAAGGCTGTGTGTGCCACTTGGCCTTAGAGACTGGTTCCTATCCTTCTTTTATTGAGTGGAACCAATGCAGGCTGTGAGAGTTGCTGGAAATGGCCTCAACTGTCCCACTCTCAAGGACTTCATTTCTTTTCATAAGAGCTAGATACCTCTGAAGTGCCACAGAGAGGGTGTTGTACAGCCAGATCAAATGTAAAGTCACGGAGGGGCAGCTAAGTCTCAAACAATCAGCTCTAAATTTTCACTACGAGTCCCTCACTCCACTTGGTGACTCAAACATCAAGGACTTTATGCCAATACCATCTCCTCACAGTAGCTGAAAGATGTGCAGCCACAAGAAAAATATGGCCCAGAGGAGACAAGGGCTGCCACCTGCTTCAGCTTCCCTAGCTCCATATCCATGGCTCAGGGGAAGCCTTACAGTGAAGTGCAGTGCATGCCATGCTGGCAAACTTGGCGTTGGAAGCTGCTTGCTAATCACATCCAGAACAAGCCTCCTGAGGGGGAAGGAAGTGGGGAGCTGTCCCTGGGACATGGAGGGAGCTTTAGGTCAAAGTGGAAGAAAGAGT